AGAAGATTTTTTAATTTTTTTAAATATAAAATATTGCAACACGTAAAATTATTTCAGTTATTTTTTATTTTATTTTACATATAAAATCTAATCAATATTTAATGCATCCTACAAAATTAGATTTAATTTAATTCTCCATACAATTGGTTGTTACTTTTTCAGTTGTACATTTTTTATTTATATATTTTACACTTTTAAATTAATTAAGCTCTCCGAAAATACCAAATCAAATGATTTATGAAAGGTTTTTTTTTTTTTTTTTTACAATTTTAAATCTATATATCCAACTTAAAAAACTCATCGCATAGATATGGACGAGTTTAAGAAAATTTCATAACCCAACTTATAAAATTCCATCTTCACGAGTCAAAATCACATCTCTCATCTATCGTAACAACTTTAAACGTAAATAAATAAAAGTCTAATTACTACTATAAATTCATTATCTATATTGATTTTTTACGAATTTAAATTTCACCTGTCTACTTACTAATATTTTAGATACTTTTAAATATTATTTGTATAATTTTTTTTTACACGTTTGTTCTCTCTATATATATACATATATAGAGGTTAAATGAAGAATTTTTAGACATATTTTCCTTACGGGTAGTTTACAAAAATTTAGGTAGCTTCAAACATTATTTGTGAATAATATAGAATATTTTAGATGCTTTTGTAGATGTTATAAAATATTTTAAGTGTTTTTAATATTTATATATCACACTTAAAAAGAATATTTTGCCAAAAAAACACATTAAATACACATTATAAATGTTAATAGAAACAGTCTTCAGTGTTCGTCTTTGATTTTGTCAAAAAAAATCTCATAAAATCGGTGAAGTCAAAATTTGTGTGTAAAGTCTATCTATACTAAAAAAAAGTATATTCAAAATTCTTTATCTAATTTCTTTTTTCCTTATCTAAATCCTTCTTATTATCTAATTGTATAGAAATCTGTTTTGATTTTGTTCAATCCTCTAATTGTATTTGTATCATATCCCATAAAATCGGTTTAACAAAAAAAATCTCATAACATCCGATAAGTATAAAAAAGTACGTAAAATCTTTACTAAAATAAAAAGGTTTTATTTATTATCTAATTTATTATCTAATTGTATGGAAATCTATTCTGATTTTATAGTACGTACTATAAATTGTGCACCCGTGTTCAGGAGCTACTTAGGGTGTGATTGTTTATAGATTGAATTGGTTTTTATTTGGTTTGTTTTTAACTACAGTTAATTTTGAAAAAAGGTAAAATGGTTAGTTGTTAGTTGATATATTAAAATAATATTTAAATGTAATAATTAAAGTTGATTTGATGTAAAGTAGGGAAAAAATAATTGGAAGTGGTAGTTAGTTAGAGTTATGTGAGTAGATGAACAGTGAATTAAATTTGATGTGATGTGTAAGAATGATTGGTTGATATTATTTAATTATATTAATAATATTGATGATAGTGAGGTTGAATTAAAATTGAGTTAAATTTGAGTTTTGATTGATTTTTTTTACTATTCAATTTATAAACAATCACCCCTTAACGGACAAGCTCTGTGGAAGTAACTCATTGTTTGTCCCATTTTTGTTACGTTTTTCGTTATTATTTTTCTTTTCTTTTTCCCCCATTTTATGTTTGTTTCTGTAGTTTTGGTTCGTTTTGCTTCTTTTCGTGTGTTTTCATTTGTTTAGAGTTTTTCTTTTGTGTTTTCGATTATTTTCTTCGTTTTCTCTGTTTTTGTTGTCGTCTCGTGTGGTATGCAGGTTGAGTCCGTAGCTGATTTTGATATATAGAGGAGGAATGTGATTTGGCAAGAGACGAAGTCAAATTCGGTTTCTAAGCTAACGAACTCTAAACGAAAAGTAAAGCATTAGTCGAGCCAGAGACACCGAATGTAGTAACAAGAATCGTTCGACATATCTCTATCTACAAGATTAAGAGTATTCCAACGGGGATTAACTTGCTACCTTTTCCGACAAGCTCGATTTACACCAGCACATACCATTCCGTAGCGAGACGTCCTCCACGCGCAGCCCAGCCTCCCCACCCACAAGCCGACGGTCAGCAAAGCCGTAAGACGACCACCGACACCACATCCAGAAGCTCACGAACAGCACCACAGCCGCTGCAAGCCTCCTACCGCACCAAGTTCCTTGCCTCGCGCCGCGATGAACGGCCCCGCCGCGCCATATCGGAAGCCAACGGAAAATTAGGCGCTAGGCGCTAAGCGAGCGGTGACCCTAATACTAGAGCTTAGGCGTGCCTAAGCGTGCATAGGCGCGCCTAGGCGTTTGTACTGTAGCAAAGTAGATTTCCAGAAATTATAAATACGCAGAAGTAGATACATACCTTGTTTGTATTGGTAGGCTTGTCTCTATGCAATTCATGGCTAGATAACTTCGTTTTGTTAACTTCTTGGTCATGAGAATTAGAGAATAACACAAAGATAAGAAATATCAAACTCATTGAAAATTTGAATAACATAAGAGATGAATATTAAGTACTTAACAGAAAGGTAAGGTACAAAATAGTTTGTGAACATATGACAAATACTAATACAGTCTTAGGAATTAAAAGACACGACAACACTCATAAGTTCCCATAAGTTCATTACAGATTCAGATTGAAAATTAAAAACAATAAAACAGCAGCAACATGCTAACAGCAAGCAATCCAGCCCCTTCATTCTTCATCCATGTAGTCATCATGTTCCTCAAACTCCTCTTCTTCAGACTCAAATTCCTCTTCTGCATAAAGCTCTCTCACTCTTGCACTTTGACGCCTCTCAAGTTGTTCATCCACTCTCATTGCTTCTCCAATAACAGACCACGGAATATTTGTGCCAGGCATCTCATCATCTTCCTCATCCCTATAAACAACTATTGCACAATCATCGCCACCCTCAAAAAGAAATNNNNCACTTG